GGTTGGGACAGGGTAACCACCAAGTCATCTGCAAAAGCTCTTAATTTATATTCTTTTTTATTAACTTCTATTCCTTTTATTTCCTGTGATTCTCGAATTTTAATCAACAATATTTCCAGAGTTAAAACAAACAGCAGTGGTGACAATGGACATCCCTGTCTAGTCCCCTTTTCTATTGTAAAAACCTCTGATAAACCCCCATTAACAATAAGTTGTGCCGTTTGTTTTTGATAAATAAGACCAAGAGCTTGTAAAGATTTTTCTCCAAAGTTCATTTTCTCAATTAATCTTAACATAAATTGCCAATTCAATTGATCAAAAGCTTTTTCAGCATCTAGAAATAGATGCCCTAAGACTTTTCATTATATTTGTAACATCATTACTTTCTGTCAAGCAAGGAAACATGTATCCAAATCATGTCTTACTTACTCCATATTGGAACGTTTAACTATCTCTATAAGAATTTCGTTACTGCTGAATATATCTCAGGAACAAAATAGATATCCTATTATGGAGTCATAAAAGCATTTGGAGTAGACCAAATATACAATAGCATTATTTGGCAGTCATGTTTTTTTTCCAAAATATTCTATTCACATTCAGAGGGAAGTGCAAAATTTCATACCAGGCATCCATATATAACATTTCATATAGCTAGGGTTTTTTTGCTATTTGATAACAAAAAAATTACCATATTACAGACTTTTGCTTTCAAGAAGCTAAATAAGGCTACTTATTTTTAAAGAACAGGTTCTAGATATACATACTGATTTTTTTATAGGAAATGATCAGACAGCAAAATGAGACTTTGGCCAAGGGAATTGTTTAAAAACTTTTTTTAACTGAACAACTGCTTTGCAAATGATCTGCTCAATTTATTTAGCATGGTTTGGCAGAGTAAAAGAGAGTAGTGTTCTTAAAAGTAAATAAGATCAAAGTCCCTTTGACTTTTTTGGCCATGATTCTTTCATATCACTATAATACTAATAAATCAAGACCTATTTTCTGTGTGTATGCGTGTCTGTATGTATGTGTATCCTCAGGTAATGTAACTACAAATGCAAATTAGGAGAAAAGTATAAGAGAATATCTTAATTAAAGGTCTGAATTTACAGATTTTATTTGACCTACTATCTGACTAACTAACATTGACCTTATGCACTACAAAAGTGGCACTGTGTTAGTATTTATACAAAGAATGTAGCTAATGTCTCTTCCACATTTTTCTCACTGTATTGCTTAGAAATATAGCACTCGGGCATTGCATAGCAAAGAGACATCACCTTCCCGCATTCTAGCAGACAACTTTGTCTCCCAAAAAGTAGAAAAGGAAACTAGAGAATTAGCCATTTTGGATCGAATTCTCACTAACAGAGATGAAATGATAGAAGGTGTTGAAGCCATAGGAACCTTGGGAGGAAGTGATCATGCAATATTGGAATTCAACATTATGGAAGCACAAGCAATAGAACACAGTCAAACTAGAGTCTTGGACTTCAAGAGAGCTAATTTCAATAAACTTAGAGAGGGTTTGGGAAGGATTGCATGGATGAGAATCATCCAGGGGAAAACAACTCAAGAGGCTTGGGAAATTTTGAAAAGTGAGATAATAAAGGCCCAGCCTAGCACAATATCAACAAAGAGGAAAAATAACAGCTCTCAAAAAAAATCAGCATGGCTGCATAAAGAACTCTCTGATCAATTAAAAGATAAAAAGGACAAATATAGAAAGTGGAAAGAGGGACACATAACTAAGTCAGAATATCAGCAAATAGCCCGAGCCTGCAAAGATGAAGTGAGGAAAGCTAAAGCTCAAAATGAACTAAGGCTTGCAACCAAAGTCAAAAATAACAAAAAAAGCTTCTTTCAACATGTAAAAAACAAGAAAAAAGTGAAGGAAACAATTGGTCCATTAGTGGGTGAAAGTGGCAAGAAAGTGACAAGCAACAGGGAGAAAGCTCGTTTTTCGCATCTGTCTTTACACAAAGGGAAAAAATAGACCAACCTATCAAAAATAGTGCCATAAAAAACAATATAGAAATACAAGTTAAGATAGGCAAGAAAATGGTAAGTGAACACCTTTCCAGCTAGACAAGTTCAAATCACCAGGACCAGATGGATTACACCCCAAGATTCTTAAGGAACTAGCAGATGTGATCTCAGAACCATTGAACTATATTTTTCAGAGATCCAGGAGCACCAGGGAACTATCAGAGGACTGGAAAAGAGCTGATGTAGTTCCCATCTTCAAAAAAGGGGAAAAAAAGAACCCAGGAAATTACAGACTTATCAGTCTGACCTCAATATCTGGGAAGATTCTGGAAAAGATAATCAAACAACGAATCAGCGAACACCTACAGGCAAACGAAGTCATTACTAAAAGCCAACACAGGTTTGTCAAAAATAGATCATGCCAGACAAATCTTATTGCATTCTTTGACCAAGTGACAAAATCAGTGGACCAGAGGAATGCTGTGGATATAATTTACTTAGATTTCAGTAAGGCATTTGACAAAGTACACCACAACCTACTACTTGAGAAGACAGAAAAATGCGGGTTAGACAGCATCACAACCAGATGGATCTGTAGATGGCTGACCGGCCATACTCAGTGTGTGGTCCTCAATGGAACCACATCTACATGGAGGGAAGTATGTAGCGGGGTGCCCCAGGGCTCTATTCTTGGCCCAGTGCTCTTCAACATCTTCATCAATAATCTGGATGAAGGGATAGATGGGGAACTCGTCAAATTTGCAGACGACACCAAGCTGGCAGGAATAGCCAACACTCCAGAAGACAGGCTTAGGATACAGGAGGATCTGGACAGACTTGAACACTGGGCGCTATCTAACAAAATGAAATTCAGTGGTAAAAAAAGTAAGGTTCTAATTTAGGCAAGAAAAACCAAATGTATAGGTATAGTATAGGGGGTACCTTGCTCAATAATAGTAACTGTGAGAGGGATCTCAAAGTCCTAGTGGGCAATCATTTAAATATGAGCCAGCAGTGTGCTGCAGCTGCCAAAAAAGCCAACACAATGCTAGGCTGCATTAACAGCGGGATAGAATCAAGATCACGTGAAGTATTAATACCACTTTACAATGCTTTGGTAAGGCCACACTTGGAATACTGCATCCAGTTTTGGTCACCACGATGTAAAAAAGATGTTGAGACTCTAGAAAGAGTATAGAGAAGAGCAACAAAGATGATTAGGGGACTGGAGGCTAAAACATATAAGGAACGGTTGCTGGAATTGGGTATGTCTAGTTTAACAAAGAGAAGGACGAGGGGGGACATGATAGCAGTGTTCCAATATCTCAGGGGCTGCCACAAAGAAGAGGGAGTCAAGCTATTTTCCAAAGCGCCTGAAGGCAGGACAAGGAGCAACGGGTGGAAACTAATCAAGGAGAGAAGCAACCTAGAACTAAGGAGAAACTTCCTGACAGTTAGAACAGTTAACCAGTGGAACAACCTGCTTCCAGAAGCGGTGAATGTACCAACACTGGAAGTTTTTAAAAAGAAACTGGACAGCCATTTGTCCGAAATGGTATAGGGTTTCCTGCCTGAGCAGGGGGTTGGACTAGATGATTTCCAAGTTTCCAACTTTATCATCATCATCATCATCATCATTATTATTATATTATTATTATTCTGCCACACCAACCCTCAAAAAGGAGATGAGCATTAAAAGTGGCTGCTTTTATAGAATCAGTTCAGTTAATAACTAGCTATTCGGTTAAGTTTTAACATTCCATTGTTTTTTTAAGTTGTGCAAATCCAGCTTGTTTGATTGGTTTGTGAGTCAGCATCTTCCCCAAACCTACAAAATGAAATATTTAATCAAACTAAATATGTTATGTAAAATCCCACTCACTTGAGGCATGGAAAGAAGAACTGCATGATATCAAGATTGCTATTATTTTTTGTCATCATATGCAGAATATAACTAGCTATTAATAGAATCTGTAATCTTGTATTTATATTCATATTATTCATATTAAGTATCTTTTCAAATATTACATTTTGTTGAAGGAAAAAAAAGATTTAATGGATGCATATTTTTTTAGACCATGGGTGTCCAACTTTTTGGCTTGCTTGGGCCACATTGAATCAGGAGGAATTGTCTTGGGCTGCATATAAAATATATTATTGTTAAACATTTACAACCTTGTGAGGCTGCACTGCTAGCTGTCCAGAGCCACATGTGACCTGCAGGCCACAGGTTGGACATGGCTGGTTTAGACATTATGAAAAAAAGAACTAGCCAAGATAAGGCAGAACAAAGCACATTTCCATGAAAGTTATGTCATGATAATAGAAATAAATGCATTTTCACAGGCGTTATTAGCCGACTTATTTTTTGGATATTTATAATTTTATATAGTAAGATTGCAAAAATCCAAACAACCACTGAGTGGAAGATCAAGAAAAATCTAATTTTTTGCTGCCATTTAGGGTAATTCCAGAACTTTGCAACTCAGTATGGTAACCCTACTATATGCATCTTTTTCAATATTCAGTGGAATTTATTCTAAAGCAAGTAACCAATAATCTTCAGTTAGCAACAGCAATTGGGAGTGCAATTTCCAACATTGAGGACCATATAGTAAAGCACAATGTCATGTGAACTAGCTGCTTAATGACTAAAATTTCAGCATTTCTGATTGCCGTTGTTAAGCAGTTCACTGTGGATTATTAAGTAAGGACACCCACTGGTTACTATTTGATTTTATTTATAGGAAATTGGCAAAGAAGGTCACAAATGATGATCATGTGAAGATGGGGATGCTGCAAATGCTAGAATTTTGAGGACCATTCATTATCATTGCTAGTTCAAAAGATTGCTCAATGAATCGTTGCTAATCAGTACCACAAAAAAGCTTTAACATTATTTTAAATCACTGGTAGTATAAGCCAGACAAACAGCATTAAAATATAGTGTAATTTAAAATTAAGCAATTTATAGCTGATAATAGGTAAGAGTTGTTTTGTATTCCCACCTGTGATTAGATTAGATCCTTTAATTTTTTTATCCTCTACAATTTCATAAAATGGGCCTAAAACATGTAGCAGTTCCTCAACTTTGTCTGTCACTGGCATTGTTTCAAGAATCTGGAGAAAAACAAAACATATATGAACCACATACCTTTCAGTGGTAAGTTTGACAATCACTGTGATGCTTTGCTCTGAACCAGTTCCACAAGAAGAATCTGTATAGATTTAACTGCAACCTCAAACAGATTTGGATTATAGCCAACAGTTATCAAAACTAAAATAGCAAACGTTATTATATTTGCATTAATCAATTTTATTTACTATTTGCTTTTTGGAGAGTTCCCAATATTTTTAAGATGTTGGCCTATTTGTGGTGGAATCTCTAGCTAGAGTGGGAGGAGGAAAAGACTGGCTAGCTTAAAGTCTTTGCACAGCAGGAAGCCACATGGACCTAACCACCTCCAGAATCCAGCTACTGGCAAGATTCTTGTAAATAGACATGCAACAATAAAGAGGCAACTCTAATCAACACTCATGGTACTACTTTGGTTCTTTCTATCTGATGTTTTTTTTTTGTTACTTTCTTGCTTAAGAGAATACACTAACAGTAGTAATTAAAACACAGTAGTGGTGTTTTAATTATAGCAAAACGTCAATTTACTGTACCTCAAAGAAATGGTCTTTGCATGCAATGGATTACACTATTGTTTACATCATTTGGCTGTAGCTTCTAATTTTGTTTAATAAATATTACTTATCTGATATTTTTGTTGTTGTTTATTTTGAGCTTCTCTAAATAGTTTATCCCTGACTAGGATGAAACCTAACAGATATCCATTGTTCATGAATGTCCAGTAAATCAGAGATTACATTTCCATGTTATTTTTCTTTATTGATATAAGGACATCATTATATAAATAATCTAAATTGACGTAATTGATGTAACCTGTTCTGGCTACACAAATGTCAGCAATTGCTATATTTCAAAAACAATCCCCTATACCAGGGCTTTTCAACCTTTTCACCCACTGTACCACTTTTAGGATATGGCAGTATCTGAGTACCACCAGTCGCCTAACAAGGTGTCAAAAACTTGATGACCTCCCCCCCCAAAAAGGAAAAAAGTGATAAAGTACAGGTAATCTTCGACTTACAACAGTTCACTTAGTGACTGTTCAAAGTTACAACGGCACTGAAAAAAGTGCCCCCCAAGCCACAACCAAGCAAGACACCTGCCTGCCCGTCTGGCGGCGCTCTTCCTCCTGTCCAAGATTTTCATTGTTGTGAGCATTTCAGTTGAGGATTGGCAGTGGAGGTGGGTGGGGGGTGTTTGGTTTTTATTCTCCCCATCTGCTGGGTGGTTGCAGCAGATTTTGGTCATTTCACATGACCCTGGGACACTGTGACCGTCGTAAATATGAATCAATTGCCAAGCATCTGAATGTAAATCACAAGAACCTGGAGATGCTGCAACATTCCAGCTGATTGGTGCTTCTTCTGGGCTCAACAGAAGTGCCAGGATCAATGTTGCTTTCCAGCTGGAGCCTGTCACTGATCCTGGCGCTTCCACTGAGCTCTGACAGCCCCGAAGAAGCACCGATCAACTGGAAAGCGGCACTGATCCTTGCGCTTCCACTGAGCCCTCACAGCCGTGCAGCTCCAGCCGTCTCTCGCTCAAGCTTGTGCAATGCTGCCACTGGTTCAGCTCATTCCCCTCCCCCACTACCACTTTTCTAGGATGGTCGCATACCACCTGCCAGGTGCCAATGTAACACAGGTGATACCCGTACCACTGGTTGAAAAGCCCTGCCCTATACAGAAAAATAGCTTGACTATCTTTTTTCTTCCTGTTCTATACAGGTGGTACACTTATCCCTCCCATCAAACTTTTGTTTTTGTAACCATCAGATTTCACAAGCAAACTTTCTTCTCCGTTTGTTAAAACAAGGTTTTACTATATAACTCTACAAAGCAGGATCCACTAACTTGAAAGACTCTATTGACCATCAATATAGATATATGGTAAATGTAAATACACATAACAAAACACACAAATATATGGGGAATATCTTGTTTTGAAGGTGGTACTAAATGATATATCAAGATGTGTTAATTCACTAATAGTTATTCACAATTCCTGTACAAACCTAAGTTACTCAATTACATAGTTACTTGTCATTCCATGTTTTCTACATATATTTGCCTTTCTATAGCTGGGAAATAATTAGAAACAAAACAGGTTTAGCTAGAAAATTAAGGATTTATCATGTTCTAGTCTTGTAGTCATATGAATTCACACTCCCTTTCAATATATTAATATCTACTGAAAAGGGTATATATTTAGAATTTAGTGATACTTCCTTATTCAATTTTAAAAAATTGGAAAATGCTGCATTTCTATCCAAGTGGAATCAGACATACGGTACTAAAAATTCTGCAGAAGACATAAGATTTGATAAGCCACCAAAATGGAAACTATAATGAGAGTCTTATATATTTTTAGATTTTCATCGGACATTTTCAAGCCACCCAGAAATACATTTCATTCAACAAAAAAATGATGATCTTTAAACACAAATTTAAAATGGCATACATATAATTTTATTTTGCTGTAAAAAACTAATTCCACCTCCAGCAATCCAGGGGAGGCTGTTTGCCTCAGTTTTTTTTTAAAAACTATACCCAATTTGGTGAGGTGAAGACATAAAAGAGCTAACAACAACATAGATCCCTAGATAACACACATATGTACTCATACCTACTATTTACTCACTACTCTCTCTTCTCAACTTTTCCCCACTGCTAATACTCCTACTACAGTTGTTACTACTCCTTGTGGGTACTGCTAGAAAAAAATATCTTTCTGGCTGCTTGCTTGCTTACTTACATCATCATCTTCTCCCTCCCTCGGCTCAGTTGTTTTACAACTCAACTTTTGTAATCAACTTTGCTGGGCTGACGCTGGAGAGAGGACTTAAAAAGAAGGAGAGAAGGCAGCACAGGTGCAGGCAATTTTCTGGAGAGTCTGCTCTCTCACACATAAACTTCCATAATGGGTTACACTAGGGTTTATCACTTTTTTTATGGCAGCAATTTTCCTAATACTCTCAATATGAAGGCAGCTAGCTCTAAGATTAATGTCCATTAAGTAAGTTACAGAAATTTCTTCTGAAATGTAATTTAAAAAAACCTAATTTCTGTAAAATGTATATATATTCTATCTGGGTATATAAAACAGCTCTTACCTTTTTCATTTCTTCAACATATGCAATCATAGCATCTTCTTTGGGCATTGTGCCCAATGAACTCCATGCATCCCTACAATGAATGTCACAGGGAGAACATCTTCAAAATACTGCCCTACTTTACTATGATGTAATAATATCTTCAATAATTAATATGTGAGCTTTATGTGTGTTTATTGCCTAAGGAACTGCATAATTTTTTTCAGTACAGAATCACATTGTTGTTAGCTCAATTTTTTTAAAAAAGCAAAAAAGTAATCAGGCTCTATTTCAAATAGTACATACATTCATATTTTTGCAATAAAGATTTTGTTCCTCAAAAAATAGTGATAATAAGCAAAAATGTGAAAGATTTCTATGATCTCCAGAGTTTTCTGGATCAGATTTTCAAATACATTTTCAGCACTATCTGGAGATAGCAAGGACTGAATTTGAATTTGAGCAAAGGATGTGCTCTATTCCCAAGACAAATACTTTCCATACCAAGTGGGGGGAGGAATAGACAAGGCATCACTACAAAGATTAAAAACATCTTTGTTGTACAATATTTACCATTTGTATCTACCAATAGGATCCCAAAATCCAGGTCTTGGACTATTACAAGGTCCTTGAGTTGCTTGCTTATAAAAGCTATAGAATTTCAGCATCATTTCATTTGTTGGCTGGAAAGAACCTATGGGGAAAGATTTTTAGAGTGAAAAATAGTGACATGGTAGCTTTAACACAGTGATTCTAGGTTATTGTAAACTCAAAATAGGCAATCATTTATGGGACTTTAAAAATGGCTTTATTCCCACTAGTTTCAACTCAAAGATCAGTTATCTTGCCTGTTTATTTTGACTTTAAACTCTGAGATCTAATGATGAAACTACCTTTGCACAAATAGAAAAAACCCAATCAATATGAATATTCAGGCAATGGTATCAACACTATTTTCTATTTCTTTCATTAGAAAAAGTAAACAGTCCAGACAAGTATAAAAAAGGATGATCGCTGCTATGTCTCATATTAGATTTGAGGACCCAGATTGTTGGGGGCAATGTAAATATATGTATACATTGCTTACTGGTGGACACCGCTTAGAGAGTGCTTGTACTTAAAGCGGTATATAAGTCTCATAAATAAATAAATAAATAAATAAATAAGTGGAATCCATAGGTAAAAGCCATATTCTAGTAATAAACAAAACACCATAAAAATTCAAAGCACATTTCACTAAAATATGACAATTATTCCTCTAACGATAAATCAGAATGTTCTTATCCCTATGACTTACCTAATAATGCTGAATCCCCACTGTCTTTATCCTTTAGGTATGTTAGCTGTTTTAGACCTATCTTTGACTATATGCAAAATTATGGCAAAATGGGCCAGTAAACAGATTTTAAAAGTCCAAAGTCTTTATTCAAACCTCCCCAAATCTATTCCATTTATTTTATTAAGCTACTGTGCTCTCAATATCTTAGAAATGGAATTAATCACATCTATCTTGCTTACGACAAATGTACCATATATTGATACAATACTTCCCATTTTAAATTTATAGTTCTAAGAATTACTTGTAAGAACAATTTGACATATATATTGAAAAATGAGCTTTTGATTCCAAAACATGGCTTTACTTAACAAGAAAACCCAACCCAACAATATTACTATGAAGGAATAAATGATGGTTCTTCTAAATAAAGAAACACAGAAATAAAGTGGAGGGATTATTTTCACAGCTAAAATCATGTTTAGGCAATTGCACAGGAAATTATTTTCTCAACTGGCAAGTAGTTAATTAATAAACAAAACTGAAGGAATGGAAACAAAATTTTGTATCTGATCTATTATTTCTTAAAATACTTTTTAAAAATTCTACAAATTATGTTTAGTGGTGTGAATTCCTATGCTGTTCCAGCAGTTTCAGGAAAGAGTTGAGTAGAAAAGCAAGAAACTTGAAAACATATTGTTACACTCATAAGTCATCGCCTACACAAAATCTAATGAAAAGGAACAATGTATTCCTAACCCTAGTGTGGACAGATGGGGTGCTAGCCAAAGAAGAATTCATTGAAATGTAAATCATTTAATTGTCAAAGAAACTGTAAAAATAAAGGCAATTTTAGATTCTGAAGAGCTGTTCTCATTCATGGTTAACCATTTCACATTCTACAGATATTCCAAACACTTTCTGCCTTCACTACCAAACATATTGTCTTCCCCACTGAACTTTTTTCAAAATTTTATTTTGTTTGAGGGAAGAATTTCTGAAGCTTAGCTTATAACTTTAAGATGACTGAATAAAAACATTTTTTCAGTATAGGGAGGCCACACTTACAGGGACTTGCGCAGGAAAAAGATTTAGAACTTAGAAAATTTTCTGTCTGCCTCCTCACCTAACAAATATATTCAGGTTAGTGAGAAATGAAAACACCTGGAAGATATATATGGAATTGCTCCAATCAACTTGCTCAGACTGAAGAAGCTACTTGAATATGCAGCGAAATATTTGCATGAACGGAAAAAGTCCAGTTGCCAAAACTCATTTTCCAGATATTTTTTCAGTAGATTTAAGATTTTTATGTTATGATCAATACAAGTCCCTACTCAGCCTGGAGACATACATTGTAGTAAGTACACAAAGTTGGTGGCACCTAACTCTAGAATGGACAATTTTCCAGCACTATGGAAAAATGTGATTAGGGTGATTCTAATTGTTAATGCAAGTCAATGCATATATGGAAATTTGTATGGCATATGCAAAATCATAAGTGAACCACCTTGACTTGATTGACTGCATACACTTAAGCTAAAACATGGCTGTCTGGTTTGTGGGCCAGAGCGCTGTGTGAATCCAGGCTCAAAGAGAGATATTTGGCGATTTTCTGTCTAGAGTGAGCAGTCTATCTTGGATATTCCAGATTTAACATAAAACTTCCTCAAGTTGTTCTTGACTACTTTGGCAATCCCACCTAAGTAGTTTGTGTAGCCTTTCACTTCCCAGTCACCATGTCGTTTGAAGGGAGTCTGACTAGATCCAGCTCTGTTTAGCTTTGATACTATTCAAGGGTGACTAGTTATTGGCATCATTTATTGCAAAAAAACAGGAAAAAAGCGGACTCATCCATGTTTTGCAATCTCCCCCCCTCTTGATCCGGGTCTACCTCCATCGTTTTCCTTCTACTTACCATTTTTGGGCAGGCTCTGGATCACTTTCACGGCCGCTTCGAAACGAGTCCTATGCACCGAGCTGTCGCCGCCGCTCTCCGTCTCTGCCATAGCCGGACTCCTGCTTCAGCCGAATAGAATCGCGCCGCCGCCACCGCTTTCCCTGTCGGCTGTGGGTCCTGCGGCCGAGGTATTTCGGGATCATCCGGCAAAGAGCAGGGGAAGGCGAAGGCCGAGGGGAAATGGAGAAGAGCAGTCCGCTTAAATCAAGCCGGCTTCTCACGTCCTTTGCCCACCACCGCCCTCGGTTCTCCGTTTGTCTTTTCTCGGCAGTACCTGCATTCCCCCAGCTCTTCCAAGACCCATGCTCCTGCTGGTCTACACAGCTGACGGTCGTCGGAAATCAACAGAAGACAATCTCGTCCTATTCCTGCACCATCCTGTACACCTAACTTCTGCAACTATCCCTACTCCTACTTACCTTCTCTTTCCTATCTCTACTTGTATCTTTGCATATTAAAAAAAAATCTTTTCCCACACATCGAAGTCATTCAATCCAATCGTACTCAGGTTTGTTTAGATAAAGCTCCACTAACTCTAAGGAGCTTTTCTCTCTGAAATTGCAAATAGGGGACTGCAGCTGTGCAGATTATACAGACGACCCGTAGGCAATATAGATTTTTAAAAATAAACCTTTCTGACATGTAAACAGTACGCGCGTTTAGCTTTACTATCGGTACCCTTCTGATTCGGGACTTGTAACTTAAATTCAACTCCCAAACTCACGGGAAAGAAAGTTATCTAAGAAAGTTCAATTCAACCTTTCAGTAGTCACCATAGCATAAAAGCAGTAATAAAAGTTGATTATAGACGAAATACTTACAGCATTGGGTAAGCTTCTCTGTAAAGCCTCTTTAGTTTTTTTTTTTCAGCCCACCAACATTCTCCAAATTTCAATACGTTCTACTTTTCCTACGCACACTCCTGACTGAAACCAACGTAACCCTTATTCCCCACTTCTCCGCATCATCAAGAATTTCATCCCACATAATTAATATTAACAATCTCGCGATGCAAACCTAACCAATCGATTTCCCAGGGCGGCTTGCATACCGGGCAGAGAGCTGTGTTCCCTTATCCTCACCAAACTGAACGCTCCCAAGTTTTCTCCTCCGACTTCCTTTATTCCACGAGTGGTTATTCACCTATTACTATTATCAGGCACAGCTGGAGGGGCAGGGGTGCCTCACTGCCAGATTGCCGATCTACCTGTCCACTTGCAAGCAGATGACAGTTTTAAGGCCAAATTGCAGTAAAATGTCCTTCCTCCAACTTTCAAGACTAAAACGTCATCCTCGGAAGGCCGAAGACCGGGCGGCGTCAAGCAATAGCTAAGCTTCCATCCGATTTCCAGTATTAAAGGGCTGCTAATCGTATCAAGAGGCGGCTTTTCCTACCTTGGGATGACAGGTTCCTCCAACCTTTGCCCACGGTTCAAAAGATCTTCTGTTATTGTCTTCTAACAGTAGCCGTCGACTCATTCTTGTCCCGCCTCCTAAAGAGAATTCTGGGTAATGTAGTCCACTTACTAGCACTTCCTGTTGCTGACATCCTGCCTACCGTAGAAATCTTTTTTTTTATAGATCAAAGTGCTTTTTTTTCCTTCAGTCTGTGGATCTTTTATTCCCGGTAATGAACTTTAGATGCTTATATGTATTAGGAAATGTAATGACTGATGCTTCTTAACTTTGGGCACGTAGTGCATTTCATTGCAATGCTCCTCTGTGGTGGAATTTATTTAATACTGTCCCTGGAAATTATAATGAAAGCAGCAACTGCTTTGTGTTTCCTTTTTTATCTTAAGCTTCTTTACGAATGCAAACCACTCATAGTTACTATTCATTGAAGCAAAATTTAAATATACTTAATAAATTCTGAGTGCTGAAATTTAAAAATCTTAGCCCATATTGCTTTCCTTATTTTCCATTAAAACCACCTATTTGGCACAGCAGATGCAACATCATGGAAATTCTCCCATTATTTTCTAGCAATAAAAATAAAAGCAGCAGAACTGGCCAATTGGGAAAGATCACAAACAAGGAATGGTGACACAGCTTATGTAGGAGATGCCAAACAAATTTCAATGTTTTGAAAGAACAACCTGGAAGATTATTACCCGAAAACATCCTGGACATGTCCATACAATAAACAGAACCTGAATTCACCTTTAGAGTTTCTTTAATCTTCCAATCATAGTGTGCAACTTTTCGTAGTTGCTGCCAGAGGAATTATGTCAGCCTGACCTCTAAAACATGGTTCAGCTTGGGTGGAAGAAAGCACTTTAGATAGTTTTTGTCCCACAAGAAAAATTCCATTCTTTAAAAGCCACTGAATATAAGTTAATGTAGAAATTCATATATAATAGACAGCCAGTTTCACATAGTATTGACTTAGATACTGACTTAGAAACCAGGAGACTCTGAGTTCTAATCTTCCCTTAGGCATAATAGCTGGTTGGGTGACTTTGGGCCGGTCACTCTCTCTCTCATCCCAACCCACCTCACAGGCTCGTTGTTATGGGCAAAATAGAAGAAGGAAGTAGCATTATGTAAGTTCACTACTTTGATTTACAGGTAGTCCTCAATTTATGACCATAACTGAGTCCAAAATTTCTGTTGTTAAATAAAGACAGTTGATAAGTGAATTTTGTCCCATTTTATGATCTTTTTGCCTTTACTTAACATTTGTTAAATAAATCACTGCAGTTGTTAATTAGTAGCACAGTTGTTAAGTCAGTCTGGCTTCCCCATTGACAATGCTTGTCAGAAGGCTACAAAAGGTGATCACATGATCCCAGGACACCACAACAGTCATAAATATGAGACTGTTGCCAAGTGTTCAAATTTTCATCATTTGACCATGGGGATGCTGCAACAGTCATAAGTGTAAAAATGATTATAATTCACATTTTTCAGTGCGGTTGCAACTTTGAATGGTCACTAAATGAATGGCTGCAAGACAAGGACTACCTGTACTTATGAAAGTAATAAAGGTGGGATTAAAAAAAACCCTAATAAATAGAAATAAAATCAGATATATTTTTTTGCTTCCAAAGTACACAACAAAAATTGGGTTCGGATTATCTACAGACACCAGCACAGATTTTTTTTTAAAAAAATCACAATTTTTAAATAATAGCATAAAAGTTTACTGCTTTTTATCCTTTTTTGCATACCTTTCTGTGGGCTGGCAATCATCATTTCTGGAAATTGCCAATTCAAGCTAAAATTATTAGCAGAATGGAGAAGATTAACATTTTGTTATTGCCACAAAATTTGAGGTACATGAAAAGCAAGTTAGTAAATGGAAGAAAAGGAAAACTATTTGTTCAACTGGTTACAATTTTGCAGGCCAGTTTATCTATGATAGGCTTATCTCTGAGTATATACAATAATTCAACACATTTAAACCCTAATCAAACCACATACAGTTTAACATGGTATGCAAAGTAAGTCATTTTAATCATTAAAAGATAGCATGGAAGGTTTTGAATTCTTTCTTTGTAGTATACCAGGGGTGGGGAACCTTGGCTCTTTTATGACTTGTGGACTTCAACTCCCAGAATTCCTGAGCCAGCCACGATTCTAGGAACATTATGCTTAAAAAAATTACACATTTTCAGAAAAAGGAAGAATACTGTAAATTTGGAAGAACATGGCCTCTGGGCCCTTTGCAACATGAAATCCCTCCCTATTCAACAATATTCAATGACAAATCTCCAGATTTTGATGCTGTGATTTTGGTTTTTCACACTTGTCAGAGACAAATCAAAAATTTGCACTATAAGCAACTGTGGCTTTTCAAAATATGAAGAAGAAATAAAAACAGCTTTAGTTGCTCCTGTAATGTTAATATGTCATCACTGGATCCTTGTGGCCCTCCAAAACTTTAAAAAATATTGTTGTTTGTCTATTAAAATCTCTGTAGCAACTGAATATTTATTAATTTACATGTGGTATGTAAACTAATAAGATGTCATCTTGTGGCTATGAGCTGTAATTGCAAGGAGAGAATAGAATAAAATAGAATAGAATAACAGAGTTGGAAAGGATCTTGTAGGTAGGTCATCTAATCCAGGGCTTTTCAACCTTTTCACAGATTGTATCACTTCTAGGACATGACAATATTTCAGTACCACTTGTGCTTAGCAAAGTGTCAAAAACTTGATGACTAAAAAAAGGGGGATTTGGGGTTTTACTGATTAGATTCATTTGTTGTTATAGAAATGGCTAGTTTATAATATTAGGGAAAACTAAAAAGTTGAGGTTCAATGTTAATGCTTCCTTCTATGCAACAGAGGAAATATGTTCTTTTTCCCTTCTCCCTCTCACTTTTCCCCTTTTTCCTCCCCACTGTATCCTACTATTTGCTTTTGTATTTTTGTATTTTATTCTATAATCTAATAAAATGTTACAAACTGTAGAAAAATGTAAAAAAGGACCAGTTTTAATTTCTTTGGTGGCTGTTCCTTTGCTGAATCACTTTCCCTTTGCACTGACAAATGTATGATGAATTTATCCATGTTTATTAATATGCACCAATACCAGCTAGCTCAGGGGTCTCAAACTTGGCACTTTTAAAACTTGTGGACCAACGTCCAGAATTCCCCAGCTATCATGGCTGGTTGAGGAATTCTGATAGTTGAAGTCCATACGTCTTAAAAGTTGCTAAGTTTGTAGACCCCTGAGCTAGCTGTTTGGCCCTTCTTCCTCTCTCCCTCTCCTCGTCTTCCTCCCTGCCTTCTGAGCTCTCCTTCCACGGTGTAGTAAGAATGCACCCCCCAGTCCCTTCCCTGTATCCTTAAAGACACAGGAATCAAGCACAAAGCAAGAAAGGTTCACAAAAGCCTCCCAGAATAAAGAAACACTAAACTCAGGGAGGGGGTGTGTTCTTTAACCTGCCTCAGGCGTGTCTCAGTTTAAACAATGTAGCAAAGGCTCAGCCATTGTGAAAAGTAATAACCTTAAATTAAGCCTGTTGCTAAAAGCCATAGACAGACTCAAGATAAGGGGGTAAAACTAATTACATTTGTTTAAAGGAATTAAACACGTTGGACTCATTGATAGCCTTTGTGAAACAGATTAAAATATTCCAATAACCAAAAGATACAAACTGAGCCTCTGAATTACAAAACGCTGTAAAAATTGTATAAAAATCCTTATGGTAATCCATTCAAGCTAGCAGTTGACCAGGAACCCACTGGCTTCCGAAATAAACCCAACTCCTTTCCGACATGCTTGCCTTCCAGCTTTTCATTTCATCAGCGCTGATTGCATTCTCCTGGCTGGAGAAAATGAACCAGCAGACCTTTTCTTCTTCCCTGTCTCTTTTTCCTCCCTGCCTCCCAAGCTCTCCTTCCACAGCTTCTTCTCCATCCTCTTTTCTTTCCCTGTTGTCTTTTTTTCCCTTTCCCGCCAAAACCACCTTCTTTTATATCGTCTCCTCTCCTCCCCCCTCCTTTTTCTTCAGTTCACCTCCAGCTCCATGCTGCACCTACACCATTTCTGACTGATGGCAGTTCAGTCTCTTTTTGAAAGCTTCCAGTGAAGAAGCTCCCAAACTTCTGAAGGCAATCTGTTCCATTGGTTGATTATTCTCTGTGTCAGAAAATTTCTCCTTATTTCTAGGCTGAATCTCTCCTTAATCAGTTTCTATCCATTATTCCTTGTCTGGCCTTCAGGTGCTTTGGAAAATAGGTTGATCCCCTCCTCACTGTGACAGCCCCTCAAATATTGGAACATTCTATCATGTCTCCCCTGGTCCTTCTCTTCACTAACTAGTCATGCTCAGTTCCTGTAATCATTCTTCATGTGTTTTAGCCTTCAGACACTTAATCATCTTTGTTGCTCTGTAAAAATTAAAATCTCTTTTGATATTTACGTGCCAAGTATCAAAATAACTGGTTGATCTTGGCAGACTGATTAAATGTCATCAATTAAATGTCAGTTCTTAGCAACCACATAGCTAGATTGTCTTCCATAAAACTTGTTCCTAACCAGGTCTTTCAACAGTATACTCACTCATTGCCATCCTTAACTCCATTTTCATCCTCTTTTCTTTTGTTCCATATTTTACAGTGTTAGAGCCTTTCCTAGGTCTTCACATAATGTGTCTGAAGTATAATAATTGGAGCCTGATCCTTTGTGGATTGAGTAACAATTCTGAACTGATTTCTTCAGTTGTTTTCTTAATTTTCCATTGTACTCTCAGGAGTTTTTGCCAACACCAAATTTCAAAAGCATCAATAAGCAGCTACCCTGATTCTTCCAAGTCCAAATTTTGCTTCCATAGATTATGACAGGGAATAATATGACTTGTACTATTCTGATTTTTTTAGGCTGCTCCACCAAGTGCTTATCTGTTCCATAATTCCTGAATGATTCCTCATTACTGTTGATGGTTGATCCTAAAAAGCAAAAGCTATCCAATGCTTCAACATCTTCATTGTCATTGATACACTGGCGATTGTATCTACTGTCATTATTTTGGCCATCTTTACACATAATATCAGCCCCATTTTTTTTCCACTGTACTCCCCCAGCTTTCATTACAGTATTACAATTTGCAGATCAGTATATATTTAACTATCAGAGTAATGATAATAACATAGTACAGATTATTAATATTTGTTCCTCTGGTTTTAAAACAATACTCCTCTTCTTCCAATCAAGCTTCCTTCAATGTATAGGTTGGCTAATTAAAGACAGCATGGACTCATTCTCTTGCTGGCTGGAGCAGTCTGCTTTACTATTTTTCATCTGGAATATGTATTTTTGTCCTGAGTCTAAGGTTTACACAAGGATAAGAAGATATTATGGAATTCTAATTTTCCTAGAATATTCCATAGCTCAAAGTGATTGACACAATTTAAGGCCTTATTATAATCAGTAGAACATATACTCACTTCTTTTTTATACTCTTTGGCTTTTTCAACTGTGCATACCAACACTGATGTCTCTTGTTCCCTTTCTAAAACCAGCTTGAATATTTGGCAGCATCTTTTCCATGCAGGATTCTAAACTGCATTGAATGACCCTACACATTATTTTATTAGCCTGTGAAATAAGGAAATTGTATGATAACTTTTGCACTCTATTACATACCCTTTTTTCGATATTAATTGTTATATCTACCAGAGTATATTGTTCTCCAATTTTGCTGGTTAGGTTAGCATTTTTGCCAATTATTTTTATGTTGCTTGCCATATTTTTATATACATTCTACCAATTGCTCTATTTTTCTACTTGATAATGATCAGAATATTGATCTAATTTCATGTCCTAACACAGAAATTCTTCTACAGAAGGGATAGCTTCTAAGCAGATATCTTGGATGTTGACATCCTTCGTATAGAAAATTTCATAAACTAATCTTTTCATCTTTGTATGATCTTCTCTGAATCAGTTATCATTTGTCCACTAGTATTTTTAGCATATCATTTTAACTTTGAAACTATCCTCTGAATTTGGAAATCTTTTAAAAGACATTCCTTGTTTTTTCATCCATTCATTTACTTATTTGTATCCTGCCTTTATTATTTTTTAATTCAAGACAATGAACATATCCAACACACTTTCCTCCTCTTAGTTTCCCCGTAACAACATCCCTGTGAGGTGGGTTGGGCTGAGAGTGAGGGAACCAAAGTTGCCCAGCTGGTTTTCATGGCTTAGGCACATCTATCTTCATCTTCTCTGATCACAGTCATTATTTCAGGTCTTTATTTAACCAAAGTTTGCTGCATAATTGTTGAGGGCAATATGCTGATTCTGTAAACCGCTTAGAGAGGGCTGTACAGCGCTATGAAGTGGTATATAAGTCTAAGTGCTATTGCTATAAACCATAATTTCTGAATGCATGCAAATTACTAAGAATGAATCACAATTTACAAATAATTGCTGGAATCATACTACACACTAAATGAAGGCCCAAGAAATCACATTATGCTTGGCACGATTCATGAGCCTAGCACAGGGGTAGGCAACCTTGACTCTTTTATAACTCATGGACTTCAACTCCCAGAATTCCTGAGCCAGCTGGCTCAGGAATTCTGGGAGTTGAAGTCCACGAATCATAAAAGAGCCAAGGTTGCCTACCCCTGTCCTAGCAGGTATATTACATACAGCTTATTAAACTGAAACCAAATCATTGATATTACGGCTAGTTTCAAGCTTCTTTAGTCATTGTGAAGGATAGTAACAATATAAATTATTGACATATTTTTTTTTTAAAACCACATTTAGGATCCTAAAGCAAGAACATCACAAGGGAATTTTTAGCAAAGTATCTGAATTGTGCTAGAAATTGTTTTCATTGTGTTGCCCAGGCTGCAGCTTCATAATTGGCAAACAGTCATTTTTAGGATGGAAGTCTTGATTACAAAATCTCACCATCTGGTTTTCTTATGGTTTCGTACAGATTTGATTTTCATACAGAAAGAACATCAAAGGGATTGTGACAGTACATTCTGTTTAAAGGCTCTTCAAGAAACTTCCACTTCTCTCCTGCAGAAGTCACTTGCAAAAATGCCAATTAATGGCAATTGTAAAACTGGTTCTATTATGTAAAATAGATCTAGATGTACTCCCCTACAGGTTGCAGTTTCAAAAGCAGGATGGATGGGAAAGATTAATCAACTTATACACCATATGGAAATGTAATGGTATAAAGTTGTCAGCTTGAAATTGGATCCTAGAGACAATGAGTCTTTAACAGTGGACTGAGCCTTTAGCAATCAAAAGTGAATAATATTTGTCATAGAATACTAGGATGTAAGTGCAGGAAGAGGTAACAAAGATCATCTAGTTCAGTGGTAGCGAACCTATGGCACGTGTGCCAGAGGCGGCACTCAGAGTCATCTCTGTAGGCAGCCCCGTCTCCCCCTGCAGCCCCCTCCTCTCCAGAAGCCCCCCCCTGGAGAAGAGTCGCCCCCTGGTGTGGCCTGCATGGAGCAACGCAGCCAAGGACACAGCCGGGCAGCAGGGACAAGACTCCGCCCTCATGTTCCATAGTGTGCAGATGATGCTGCAGCGTGTGGGCGGAGGGCATGGCTGCCATGGGGCTGCAGGGCTGCCTGATCTGCTACCATGGGCCATTGAGGCAGTGGGCGGGTAGAGCAGGGGGTGGGCGGGGGCAGAGCAGTCAGGGCAGGAGGCAGAGTGGGGGTCGGGTTTGGGCACTCGGTCTCTAAAAGATTCATCATCACTGATCTAGTTCAATCCCATGCTTAGTACTGGAATTTGGTACTACAGCAAATTTGACAGACAGCCACCCAGCCTTTGCTTAAAAGATTCCAGCACCACTTTCCACTGCTGAGCAATTTTTACCATTATTTTTCTTATCCAGCCAAGCTCAATTTCTTTGTAATTTCCTTATATTTTGTTTTGTCTTCTGGGCAATATTTAAACAATTCTCCATTTTTTTTACAAGGCAGAGTTTCAGTTACTTTATAATAGTATCATACTGTATCTCTATAGCCTTTTCTTCTCTATATTAAATATAGGTGCGTAGTCCTTGACTTACAACAGTTCATTCAGGGATCATTAAAAATTACAATGGCACTGAAAAAAATGATTCATGACCATTTTTCACATTTATGACCATTGCAGCATCCCCATGGTCACACGATTGACATTTAGCTGCTTGCCAACTGATTCAAATTTACGGCGGTGGCAGTGTCCCGGGACCATGTGATCACCTTTTGCAACCTTCTGACAAGTCAATGGGAAGACCACATCCACTTGACAACTGTGTTACTAATTTAACAACTGCAGTGATTCACTTAACAACTGTGGTAAGAAAAGTCATAAATTGAGTTAAAACTCACTTAGCAAATTTAGCAAAATAAATTTTGGGTTCAATTGTGGTAATAGGTTGAGGACTACCTATATAACAAATATCTCCAATTGTTCCTTGTATGTTTTTTTTTTTTTAATCCCAGACCCCTTATCATTTTAGTTGTTATCCTTTGGACACACTTTCACTTTCTTAAAATGCAATGCCCAGAACAGCATCTAATGTTCTATATGTTTTTGATCAACCGAGGATTTCTTAATCCTGAAATTCATTTTGAAAGAGTTTAGGGTAATTTTTTATTATTTTATTTTATTTCATTTTTTATTATTTTGCAATTGCAACCAGTGGTTTACTCATTCTCAGCCTGTGATCTATGAAAGCAACTAGATATTTTTTGCATGTTGTGCTGTCCACTAAATTCTATCATTCTACATTTATGCCTTTGGGTTTTTTTTCCTAGCCAAATATGGACTTCACATTTGTCCCCTTCTGAAATTCATCTTACGCGTCTCTTGTTTTGTCAAATTAATTCAAGTCATTTATAAATATGTTAACTAGCAGAAGTGGAGCCCTGTAGAACACTATTTGAGTCTGATACAGAACTACTTATCTACTACATACTCACTGGGTAACACTGTTCAACTAATTCAGTGTAATGCACTTTTTGTTATTTCTCAGAATCTTATGGTAAATTCCATTGAATGTTTTAATGACATCAAGGTTCCTTATGACCAGTGCATTCCAATGGTTAATTAAACTGGTCACTAGATTGGTTTGGCATAGTTTATTCTTGATAAATGATGGTTTATTTTTGATAAATCCATGCAACCTCTGCCAAGCAACACATCATTATTTGGCATTTGCAAACTGTTGTTCCAGAATTTTACCTGGTATGTTTTGTTGGTTTCACAAATCGGACCAAGTTATACCTTGGTTGGTATTTTGGGAAGGAGAAATTTATTTTGTAATTCCAGTCTGCTTGTGATCCATTGAAATTATGTGCATGGAGAAGCTGAATTTAAGTCAGAAAACACACAGCAATATTTACATGGTATTTGGCAATCCTGACATTGCAATTTTCTACACTCTACATTTTAATTAAACTAAAATATTAATCTCCTTGTTTAATCCTGGAACAATGCTGATGAGAACTTTCATTGAGCCATATTTAATGGTCTTTCCTCTCAAAGGGTATAAAGAAGAAAATTGTTATGGAAAGGAAACATTTTGATAAGTTTAGAATAATGAAAGAAGAGGATGCTGGGAGATTGGAGCTGATTTTAGAGTTCTAAGCTTCTACAACCAAGTATAAAATATTGAATTGTGTGTTTTTTCTCCATCAATTTCTCATTTTTTTCTTACTTCTGGTAAAGAAAATAATTAAAGATGTAATGGGAAAACACTGGAGCTTATAAATGAAAGACACCAGCATTTGCATCCTCCCACTTTGCTAGCAGCCAAATAAAATTCTGTCAAGCAAAGGGAATCCAAGTAAATGACTCATCTGAAAGCATCCATAAACTAACACAGTTTACAAGTGGAAGATGCCATTTGGATCCTTCACACCATTCCATAAATGAGGCAAGCATGACTGCATAATAAAAACTTCATCTAATATCAGTCTGTCCAGAAACTTTTCAACATGTTCCTGAAAAGTAAACAAAAATATTTGTGTAACTTGGATGAGATAACCATCGCTCAACTTTTGTTCCTGGCTACTTCTATGTATATAATTTGGCAATAAAGCATGACTAGAAAGCCACAATGCTACTACTCACATTACATGCTAAAATAAAACAACAAATCATACTAGAGCCCTTTCTCACCTGCAATTAACCATAAAGAATACTCTCACTCCTTGTTTCATGACCAATACACACATTTGCAACCAAATTTTGTGTGCCTGACTATAATACACACCAGAGTAAGAGCAACACTGGCACAAATGAATGAGAAAATGTTGTTGTGTGAGAGGCAGCAACTGATGATCTTCACAGTCTGTCTGTCTGTCTGTCTCTATGTGTGTGTGTGTTATGTTCACTTAGTGCAGTGGTTCTCAACCTTCCTAATGCCATGACCCTTTAATACAGTTCCTCATGTTGTGGTGATCCCCAACCCTAATGGCTCTCCAAGCGCGCACCGACGCCGCCCACTCATCCGCAGCGCCCGGGGCTCAGCACGCCTCGCTTGTCCTCATCTCACTTCCAAAGGTTGCCGGCCTGCCCAGCTCCAGCTGGCCGGGGAGAGGGGGCAGGAAGGCCGCTCCGCTGGCTCTGCCCAGCCTGGTTGGAGAAGTGCCCAGGTGGGGAGAGGGAGAGAGAGAGACCGCACGAGAGAGAGAGAGAGTCAAGAGGGCAACAGCGCCGGCAGAGCTTAGTTCAGCCTCCTCCGTGGAAAGGGCCGCGAAGCAGCGCAGCCTCCCTTAGGAGATGCTCGATGGAAACGAATCAGGTGCTGCAATGGCCCCCACCTTGAAGCCGTGCAAAGACGGATAGAGGAACGGTGTCTCAGTTCCTAAGACCATCAGAAATATATGTTTTCCGATGGTCTTAGGCGACCCCTGTGAAAGGGTCATTCGACCCCCCAAAGGGGTCACGACCCATAGATTGAGAACCGCTGACTTAGTGCCATTTCATTTAACAAACTGATTGTTGAAATGAACTCAGTCACTAAATGAAGAGTGGGTGTATGTCATGGTAATTATTTTTATTTGCTAAATTAGTCTTCCACCCAACCTGGGCAGCTAATTCCCAGTCTAAGAAAATAGCAAGGGTGTGTGTGTGTGTGTGTGTGTGTGTGTGTATCAAATTACTAAGCCCATTAGGCTAACTATCTGTCAAGACCATTGTGATTCAACCTGGTACAGGTAAACTGTCTTCCTGTTGTCTAGTGATGTGGAGAAGACAAGGAAAGAATAGTTTTCTTCCCCTGCCTGGGGAAAGAGAATACTGGGACTGACAGCAAAATCTATACTAGTTTGGCAAATACCCCAATTTTGTGTAAACTGGGATTTACACAAAACCCTGGACATAATGTGCTTTATTCCAATCCAGTTATTTGGTTTCACATTAAATACTAATTAATTACTTCCTGTCTCAATTACTGCAATATGCTCTACATGGGACTGCCCTGGAATGTGTCTGGTAGCTTCAGTTGGTTCAAAATATGGTAGCCCACATGGTTTTCTGCAAATCTAGATTTGCACATGTGGGAGTGTCTTAGTTGCTGATTTGCTTCTGGGTCCAATTCAAGGTGTTACGTATCACCTTTAAAGTCCTATATCAGACATATCAAACACAAGGCCCGGGGGCCGGATGCGGCCCGCGAAGTGGTTTCATGTGGCCCGCGAAGCCATCCTGGAAACAGTGAGGGAACGGTCCCCACTGCCTTGGCCCTGGCCCAGGCCGGACGGGAGCCAATGTACAATTTTGTGGTGGCCATCTATGCTGAAACGCATTCAGTCTTAGCTCCACAAGGCCGTCTAGAAACAGCGAGGAACCAGCCCCTGCCGCGTTGGCCCCATCCCCTGGGTGCATGCTGGGGAGGTGTCTCCTTTGTGAGGACTGAAGAAATGGACCATGCCTTGGCACTTGCCCTGGTCCCACCCCCTTCTGCCAGAGACCGACAGTTCTGTTGCACTCCTGCCCAGGCCCCCACAGGCACCCTTGATGCGAATTGAGCTGGCCATGTCCACCCACTGGCCACACCCACTCCATCCACGCCCATCCAGTAGGCCGCATCCACCCTGACCACACCCCCCCCGAGGGCAACCACAATGCTGATGCGGCCCTCAATGAAATTGAGTTTGACACCCCTGTCCTATATGGTCTTGGGCGGGCTATTTAAAGGACCATTTTTTTCTAGATCAAATCTGCCAGTCACACCAGAGCCAAAAGAAAGGGATGTTTTGGGTCTTCTCTTCCAAGGAGGTCAATCTAGTGGTACCAAGAAGAAGGGCCTTCTCTGTGGTAGTTCTCGTCCTGAGGAATATCATCCCTAGAGAAATAAGATTGACACCATCTTAACACTCTTTCAAAAAGCCTGAAGACATGATTCATGATCCCAGGGTAATAGGGAGCCCATCAAGTGATTGATTTGATTGTTGTTGCCGGGGGTTGTTGGGTTTGTATTGGGGTTTTATTTCTGTAAGCTGCCTGTATTCACTGAGAGTAAATTGGGTGGTCATATAAATTTAATAAATATTTTTTTATGGAGATTGCCAGCCATAAATATAGGCAGGTACATCCATCATACTTAGTCAAAAGTTCACTGTTTATGATTAGGCACACTGGGGGTGTATCAGAATCCTGCAGGAAGTCTTTAATGTGAATTTTATTATTACTGTTACTATTGTAATTATGGATCATAACATGATATTGCTAAATATGCAACAAACATGAGGCTTGGGTGGCTTTATAACAAAAATTGATCTTAGGGTTTTGTAATTTCTAATGGAAGTCATATTGTAGATCCCTGGCTATACAATGATTTTCAAAAACTTTGAATAATTAAATTGTGAGCCAGCATAAAGGAAGAAGTTAGAAACTGCTTCACTATACTCAAATTTGGCTTGTAGGGGTGATAGATGCTCCACCGTTTGCACTTAATTAGCTGGGCAATATCATATTTCTCCATTTATGTCCACGGCATTCCCTTCCTCTCATCCCCAGTCCATGAATGAAATACAGGTAGTCTTCAACTTATGACCACAATTGTGTCTAAAATTTCTGTTGCCAAGCAAGACAGTTAAGTGAATCTTGCCCCATTTTATGACCTTTCTTGCCACAGTTATTAAGTGAATCACTGAACTTATTAAGTTAGTAACACGGTTGTTTAGTGAATTTGGATTCCTCTTTGACGTTGCTTGTCGGAACTGAGCACAAAAGATGATTACATGACCTTGGAACACTGCACTGTCATAAATATGAGTCAGTTGCCAAGCAACTGTGTGACCATGGGGATGCTGCAATGGTCAAAAGTGTGAAAAATGGTCATGTAACCTTTTTCAGTGCTGTTGTGATTTCAAACAGTCACTATGTGAACTGTTATAAGTCGAGGACTACCTGTATCTGTAAATCATTCTCACCTTGGTGCATGCCAGTGATTAGGAAAAAAGATTGTATGGTACTGGCATTCTGCAACAAGGACAAGAAATTTTATGATGCTATATAATTTTTGCTTACTTGGAGATGGGAATGCAGCGTCCCATCTCTGTGTGAAAAGTAGTTTTGGTAGAATCGAGTCAAGCAGTCCGTAACCCATATTCTGTACTTCAACAGGTGGAAACGCAGCCTTTGAAACTTATTCCACATACGATGCTTAAACAAAATCTGTTCACCAAGCACCAGTCACATACGGCCGTTTAACTACCGAGGCGCTACCCTTGGTCCTATTTCCTAGCAAGCAGCATTCTCTGGAGAAAAATGCTCATTTAAAAAAAAAAAAGAATCAGGAGCAGCGCTGGACACGTCTTTTACCGAAACGTCTTTCCGCCTTGGTTCGGGCTCAACCAAAAGCGGAATTCGGGGCGAGCGCCTGAGGAGCAAAAGAGCCTTCTCCAGCCACGCACGTGACTACATCTCCCGACGTACCGCGCGGCTGCCTCTTCCGGGAGAAACAGGAGGGGAGGGGGAGGAGAGAGAGTGAGAAGGAGAGAGAGAGAGAGAGAGAGAGAGAGAGGGAGGAAGGCAGGCGGGCGGGCAAGGGTGGAGAAAGCGGAGCCTCTGAGGCAAGAGCCGAGGCGAAGAGGGTTCCCACAATAGCGGGCAGATTGTGAGCCGGTGGCGCTCCCGCGATCTCTTGAATGCTGGAGAGAGCAATGCGGAAGGGTGGAAAATGGCAGAGCTGCAAATGTTACTAGAAGAGGAAATCCCTTCGGGCAAGCGGGCTTTGGTGGAGAGCTACCAGAACCTCACCAGGGTCGCGGACTACTGTGAAAACAACTATATCCAGGTAAGAGGCCGGGCGCGGGGTGGCAGTGACTCCCAGGAGCCCCTTCCTCCCTTTAACCGGCAGCGGGGATGGGAGGGAGCCCCTGCCTTCCGCCCTCACAATTGTAGAAAGCGGGCACTGGCCGTGGAATTTTTTTGGGTGGGGGGGAACATGGTGTGGCTCACAGGTCCCCACCCCGCCTCCCACGCTTCCTTGTGGTTTTTGCTTTAAACTTTTAACCAAACAGAGCTCTCCCCCACTTCCTCCTTGTCCTCTTCCTCCTCGCCCTGAAGTCCAACTCCACCTCTGCCGCTTTGCTGTTTGCAAAGGAAGGGAAATGGGGGAGAGGAGTTACTGTATTTCACCACTTCGGAGCCGAGGGTGTGCCTTCTAATAGGTGTTTAGTGTAAGGCAGCTCGGCAGACTTCTGTGGGGTTGTGGTTCGTTTGAATGGGGTGTGTGTCTAGGGATAAGCTGCTCTTCCCAAGCCGCTGTCTTCCAGCGATGTCTGGCGGCCGCTGCTATCCTTCCCAGCAGTCAGATTGGGGCGGAGAGGGGTTGTCTTCCAGCACAGCTGGTGGGCACCAGAAGAAGGGAGGGGGAGGTCCATCCAGAGGCAGAAAGAGTTCATGGATTTAATAAGGCTGTTTATTTCTCGGGCCAATTTCCTCCTTCTCTCATGCCTTTTCATTAGTTACTCCTTGCCCTCCTGATAATATCTTAATGATCACGTGTGCAGATGGCAAAACAGGCATTAAAATAATGCATTAGAAAAGCAGAATTTCAGTTGGAAGTAGAGAATAAATTACATGTTCTTAAATGGTGCTGGGGCCTGAATAGTAGCCAGATTTGTTCCTCCTGTTTTTCAAATATGTCAGTGGGGTTGTGGGAAAGAACTATCATGTAAGTAGTGAATAATCATTTGGCTTGCTGATCTGGCAGGATGAATAAAAAAGAAACTGGTAGGAACTGGAAGCAAAGAGACTGAAGCAAAAGCCTTCTTCCACCTAGGCATGCTTATGGATACAGCCACTCTTATAAATAACTTAGGGTAATGTAATTTTGTGAGTCAATTCTGTATGGATATTTAATGTTTTGGCATATAAATCTTATTGAGGCTAAATGAATTACATTTCTGCATGATATTAAATTGTTGACATCACCTTGAAAAAAACGTAAACTGCAGCTGGGCAGCTAATCAAACAGAAAGCTATTTCAGCATGTTATGATGCTATCTAAACAGGTAGACTTCATATATTAAGCATCTTACAGCAATATTTTTAGATTTCATAGGAGAGAATCCAGTATGGCTTAATGCTGTAGTTACTTAAAAGAAATACTTAAATTTTAATATTTCAATCATTCTCCAATTCACCTCTTCAGTGATTATTATTAACTGATCTTCAATTTTGAAAAAATCATAAGGATATGTGGTATATTTTTAAAATAAGATGCTTGATCCAATGGGTAAAATATAGCTCTATTTTGTACATTCCTAATGGAGGGGAGTATATTTTGAAAAATGTAATAGCAATGTAATAATTCTGAATATATTTTTAGGTTAAAAAAAAGTAACATGGGACCTGTTGCATTCTTCCTTGTGTTCCAGAAATCTTTTTATTATGCCCTCTAATATTTACAAATAAAGTTGTATATTGTTTGAACTGCTTATTTTTCTCTATTTTTTCCAAATACTGTATTGCATTTTGGGGATAGTATAACTATCTCATTATCCCTTGCATTGTTTTCACTTAATATGCTGTTCTGAATCTGTTCAACATTTTCATTAATAGTTTAAAAGCTTGTGAAAGGTCTGTTATGTTTTAAATATTGATATATCCCAATTGTGTTAAAAAGTATGACAAATTATTTTATTTTTTTGAAAAGCAAATCCTATACCTGGTTCTTGGCTATACCCTTGAGATTGATAGATCGTGTTGCCTTTCTCTTCAGCCAACCTCTGATATCAAAATGTGCAGAGTTAGATGAAAATTGTGGAAAACAGATAGAAGCCATCAGCATAATTATATATATTTATGTATCTTTTGGGAGGCGAAGGTTGAAAAAAACCTACTCTTGAGATGATTAGTTCAATCTTATGTTTAAATAAATGAGATTTAGTCTAATGATTCAATCCTTAATCATCAAGTGCAGAATATGAGTTTATTTATGGAATGGTTCCCCTCCCGTATGCATGTATATATATGTGGTATGTCTATATTCATTTCCTGTTAAGAAGAGGAAAAAAAATTCTGATGAATTTGTATTAATACAAAGATAGCTTAAAATTGTGTGATAAGATAATAATGACTATAAATGGCTCTGTTTTGGACATGACACAGCAGATTTTAACATAAATTTATTTTTTTAATGCACAATAACATCCAAAAAGAATTTTCTATACAAAATATATGCAGGCCTATATGGTACAAGGTACATGATATAAAACAAGGTCATTGATCTTTGAATGCAGTACAGAATTAATTAAAATCTCAGCTCCAGTGTGTTTCTGTTGGTCTTAGCCTGTTTCTCTGCTTGAGAGTATGAATATCATTGGAACAAATCTTGAAGGATTGCACATGAAAAATGTGGAGCATTGATGAAAAATGTACTGTAAACAATGTTAGAAATTGGAAAATATTTTTTTGATATAAATGCACAGGGCAAGTTGGCAAATAGGACAACTGGTCTGAGATAGAATTATTTTTGGGATGAATAAGACACGAATCCATTGTAGTATACAGTAACATATTATGTATTTTTGTATTTTTTTTTTCAGGAAGAATTCACAATGTATCACAACTTTTGGGCCTTACTAATAACTATTGGTTTGTGTCATCTTGAAGTTTCATCTTTTTTAAACTTATGTTTTTAATATGAAATATAATAACATTATATTTTGAACCTATCAGTGCAATAAAGGCTAGAATAAATCACATATACTATTTAATATGAAAAAAGTTTGAGAGAAAGTTATCTCCAGATACTTAAAAGGATTTAGATTAGACATCAGTTGTAATATAAAACTTGTCTTCATTCAAATAAATTTAGAGATGTTCGTTGACTCACTAGCATGCTTATGTTGGTAATTTAGCATGAATTCATATTACAGCTTTCAGGGCAATTATCTATTTTAGCTTAACTTAGATATTATTTAAAATGTATATAAATCCTACAAGAATACTGAAATACTGACGATAAATACATTTGTTATAAAGTCTTCTTGCAAATGTACTTAGATTCGTAGTAAATACCATAATATTTCACACTCTTTACAGTTGGATACATAACTTTCCAATAATTTTGTAAATCCATATTGATTTAGCCAAGCTTAAAATACAACCTGGATATTGTTCTGTAAAGAAGTGTTGCTTTTCCTGTTCAAAGTGCATTGAAGTTTACCCAGGAATTTGTGGAGAACAGTTCAACTCTAGAGCTGGCACTATCTATCTAAACCCCTTTATCTATCTATCTATCTATCTATCTATCTATCTATCTATCTATCTATCTATCTATCTATCTATCTATCTATCTATCTATCTATCTATTACAGTGTTATGGATTAAATTAATCGCTGCTGTGACATTTTCTTGTTCCACCCAAATAAAGCTGCTGATAGAAATGCTTCAAAAAAGGCGAGGTTACTTTTGGTTTTACCCATGGGATGTATGACAAATACAGTGGTGAGGTAACTACAACATGTTTCAACCTGTTAGTGTGTGTTTGGTTTCTCCCCCCAACCGCATGTATTTTATACAATTTGTAATGAATTTGCGTGGTATTACATACTGTTTTCATGTGCTAATATAGAATGCATGTGCTGTATTTCAATTTGAATTTTTGTTTAGTACTTTAAAAAATGCACATGGCTTGAAAGGAAATGTGAATATTAGAAGTTGGTGAATTGAAAAAAAAATCTTTGCCTTGGTTAAATTGTACAAGAAATCAGTGGCATTTTTAGGGTAATATTTAATTTAGATGCTCTACAAGGGTTTAGTCTAACTCAATGTAAGGTGATAAATGAATTGATAATACTGATTTGATTTTCCCTGAATTCCAGGACAAGCTGGAGGAAGCCATCTGTTCCACTGTTGGACTAGTATAGTATAAAGATTGTGTTTCTAGGGGATTAATTTGGTGGCAGTGGCAATGTCTATGTTGATGCTGTATTAGAGAATTTTAATACGCAAGGCAGTAGGACTATGCGAAATATGCATGCTGGGACTTGGAAAAGTATCATAGTTATACAAATTACTGTTTGCATTAGTTTCAAAGGATGTTCAATCCATTGCAACAGTATTTGTAACCCAATGTACACATAAATGTATATCCCCAAAGAAAATACTAAAATTTGTAAAAATACAAATTAAGAGGCAGGATTTAAAAAGTAATCTAAAGATTCTAGAATAAATACTTTCAGAATATTTATAAAAAATGTTTGACTTTTGCTGGAAGTTATTTGATTATAGTCAATCCACACATTAAAACAGGTTTATAACTTCAAACACTTATGTATACATGTAACAAACATGAGATGATTTTTTTTATAATTCTTAAATTGTTGGATATGGGATTTGACATAGTGTGAATATCTGCCCTTTTGTTTTGCATTTCTGGATTAGTAAGACACTTGGGCATGG